ATTTATCCCAATACTTTTTTGTTTGGTTGGTTTTTCTCCAATTGCCTTTGAGTTTGTGTTCGTGTATGGCTGTGTGTCATTGGGCGCCCTTTCTTCTGGCGAGGGCTGCGGTGGCGTTGTGAAAGGACCGGTGAGACGAGTTGCATCGTTGGGACTGCGCGGGCAGTAGTTTGGGGCCTTGCCTGTCACCTCTTCCTGTTGGTGCTGCTGGCTGAGTCCTCTTTCTTTTTTCCTTTTGCTCTTTCTGAGCTGAGCGCAGTTCGTACTGTTCGTGTGTAGTTGCGCTGGGCCGCAGTGGGACACATGCACCTCACTGTGCCAAGGCTGTTGGGCGTTGGCGTCGGCGTCTGTTCTCTCACCTCGATGGGTGTGTGGGCGGCAACGCGGCAGGAGGCGTGCCTGTCGCGCATGTATCCTCAGAGTGCCGGCTTCTACGGCGCACTTGGCGCTGTCGTCGCCCTTGTGTTTGCGAATCTCGGGTCCGCGTACGGCGCCGCCAAGGCGGGTGTGGGCGTGGCACACCTTGGGCTCTCCGCACCGGAAAAGATCATGCGTGGCATTGTCCCCGTCGTGATGGCAGGTATTCTTGGCATCTACGGTCTCATTGTGGCTGTCATCATCAATAACAATATAAAGACGGAGCCGTTCTCATACTCGACCTTTTCGGGGACTCTGCACTTGGGTGCCGGCCTGGCGGCGGGTTTGGCAGCGTTGGCGGCGGGTCTCTCGATCGGCGTCGTTGGTGACACCGCCGTGCGGGCGTATGGTAAGCAGGATCAGGTATTCGTGGCGATGGTGCTGATGCTGATTTTCTCCGAGGCTCTTGGCTTATACGGTCTTATCATTGCTCTCCTGATGAATAATCAGGCGAACCGGTACGGTGCGCTCTGCGGGGTGGACTAATAGCAGTGCCGTTGCCAGCTGCAGAGGCATTATGTGTGTTTATACCATGCTGTGTGGGCTGATGTGTGTCCCCGCACCACCGCTGGCGCGTGGTGCCTGCATTACGTAGTGAGGCCGAACTGGAGAAGAGAGGGGGGGGGGAGTAGGGAGGGAAGAGGACGTGCTTGTTTTTTTGTTTCTCTGTGTCTGTATGTCCGTCTGTGTGTGTGTTTACTTCGGGGGAGGCCCCCAGCCTGCCCACATTCTCTCGTTTGCTGTTTGCCGCCGTTGTTGTTGTTGGCCCTTTAACGTTATTCCTTGTTTTCTTTCATTTCTCTTCTTCTCCCGCCGGTGACACGTCTTTGAGGCCTCGGCGCCACAAAGAAGGAACTTGTTGCGGGTGACATGTCAACAACCTGCGGATTTAGGGGCTGTTTGAACCAGACGTATCTGGTGCTTCCGGTGTGTGACCACTGCGGCAAGCGCATGTGCACGGCACACCTGCTACCGGAAGTGCACGGGTGTGGGGACGCCGTGAAGAACACGTCGCAGCGCCAGGCAACGGCGGATGCGGCGGAGATGCGGCGTCAACGCAGGCACCTCGGCCTGGACGATGCCAAGGCGCGGCTGGATCGCCGTCGGGGCGAACTCGCAGCAGAGCGACAGAAGAAGTCATCGAAACGGTAACTGCGACGGAGTGCGGGGCCGCAGTTGATTTTACGGCAATCCAATTTGGCTTGGAGGCTTTGACGTGGGCGTGTGCCTCCCGCCTCCTTTGGGGGGCTGGAGATGAATGCGGCTCAACGGTTGGGTGGTGGGAGGGGGGCGTTTGTGCTGGATGCATTTCCGTGTGCTCTTTGTGATTCTCTCTCCTTCCGCCATCCCTGGCGCACTTTCCCCACTCTCTCGCGCATGCGTCGCGCTTGTGCCCCTTTCCTTTTATTGGTAGGGTTAGCCGCATGGAGTTCGTTCCGGCCTCGCAGACGGCCAGCGAGGGCCGCGATGTGTTCATCAACCATCGAGGCGCCTACTGGCTCAACCCTGTGCCACACGGCACGTTTCGCTCACGCAGCGCCTGCATCACGATGGGACCGACAGACAGCATCGATCCTTTTGGCAACCCCAAGCTACCCGACAGGCCCAATGTGTTTGGCAAGTCGCGTTACGGCACCGCACGCAACGGGCCCAACGCCGCACAGGAGCTCACAAACGCCGATTACGCTCCTGAGGCGGTGGGCGGTGGTGGGCATAGCGGCGGTGGAGCGCGAGGCGTGGATGTCTCTGGCGCGTGTCCTGAGATGCATACAAATGACAGCGGCGACGTTGACCCTCAGGATCCTTCGGCCTTGTCCGCGGTGCCGCCCACGGACGCACGTGATGACGCCGGTTCTGCTGTGGTCACCGGCGACAAGGTGCCCTATTCCGCCGAGACTGTGGTCCGTGAGAAACTTCCACTTGGCACTGCTCATCCCGAGCGTTGCGTTATGCACCCAGGCAACCACACCGCGCGCATCCCTCCCACAGGTGGATCCGCCTACAATGGCACTGTCAGTGAGTCATGGACAGCGCCAAGGGCTGTGAACAACACGTATCTGCGCCTCGCCCCACTGTATGAGAGCACAACGCAATACCAACTGCGCACTGGTCGCTACTACACAGAGGATGAAGCACCGGCGCATGACATGAGGCTGCCGCTCAAAAGTTCCCTATGCACACGGGAATGGTAGGGGGGCCGAGTGAATGTACAAGAAGCACCTGCTTCCCACAAAGGGTGTTAATGGACAGTAGGGATTGACGGGCACTCTACATTTGCAAGCTATATGCCCTATGTATTGTTGTAAAGGGACTCGGGCATCTTCCCATAGGCACTGTCAAGAGTTGTGTACGTGTATTACCTGCTGATGCTCATTCTCCTGGCTACTTTGGAAAGTCCTCACAGTCCCTTTCTAATCCACCTCTGAAATTTTACTGGAGGGAATTCAAGTCAATGGTTCATTCGCGCACGTGTGCATTTACGCACACTAGGAGGTGAACCAGACCAAAAAAGAAATACATACATCTGCGGTTGCAGCGTTACCCGCGTTAGGCGGTGAAGCGGAATTCGTCGTTGCATCTTGGGACACGCGTGGAGGTGGACAGCCTGACGGAGGGCTTCGACTTTGGTGTGAAGTTTGAGGAGCTGAGCGTGGAGCCGTTCAAGGGGGCACTGACGTCGGCGCAGCGTGCTGGAGGATGCAAAGCTAAAAACCGGCGAGATGGACGCGATCGTGCCAGTTGGCGGGTCGACGCGCGTGCTGAAGGTGCAGCAGCTGATCCGTGAGTTCTTTGGTGGCAAGGGGCAGTACCCTGGCACTACCTGTGACGAGGCGGTGGCGGACGTGTGATCTCGCCGTTGCCCGGCGTTGCGCAGGCCGTTCCTCGTGAGCCTATTCCTGCCGCCGCGTACTTGTTGGCGTCATGGGCGCCCACTTCCTTTACTTTCCGCTTAGGCGCCTTATGTCGGTTCGGCACGCACGTGGGCCGTGTGGGGCGGAGCCGCCTTGCTGATGGTCGATCCGCGACTGTTTTTTTGCAGTGGCGGCGGTAGTGGTAAAACACAAATAATGTGAGGGTCATTTGCGTTCACGCGCCTCACGGGGGCTTGCGCTGGAGCGGCTGGAGCTCATCGTTGGCCCTTCTCGTCGCCACGCGGGGGGATGCCCTGATGTCACAGTGGTGCATGTGCTGCGCTGCCCCTCTACACACGCTGCCATGCGGCGGTGCGTGATCGGTGGGGAGGGGGGCAGCCGCAGGAGAATGCTACAAAGGACTTCTGCAGGCTGTGCAAGTTACGAGGCCGCCGGCTGTGCTAGCCACTGGAAGTGTGGGGGGTGCAAAAAAACGGTGGTCCTGAGTAAAGAGGGGCTGTGGGGAGTGGGAGCGGCGCTGTGGCTTCGCAGCAAGTGCGTGCCCACTCCATGGGGGAACTCCGCTGGAGTCGCCCGCACGAGTCGCCATCGTGTACAGGCGCAGGCGCCGCCAGTGCCTACCTTATGTGTTGAGTGTCACTTCTCTTCTTTTTTACCTTTTCCCGTCTATTCCCGCCTCTCGTCGCCAAGGCATCTGCTTCCGCTACTGCTGCTACTCACAACAGACAAGCACAGTCGCTTTCCTCGAGCCATGCGCCGCCCACCCCACGCCGCAGGAGAGGGCAAGGAGTTGGCAAATGAAGTCTGCTAGGGTTTGGGGGAGGGGAGGGGGGTACTTTCTCTCATGCGTCTTTTGGCAGTGTCATGCATTCACACAACCAGGGATTGATAATATGTTTTACCGATTGTTTTTTTTTTTTTGCCTTTCGGTTGAGGGAGGGAAGGGGGGGGACCGGAGGCCTATTTTTCGGCGTGCCGGCAGGAAGGGTGTGGTGTTTCCTGCACGGGCACGTTGGCTTTTTGGTTGGTTCGTTGTGTCGTAGCTTCAGTTCAAAATCCGACGGCCTTCAGCTTTGGGGTGCCGGACGAAAGAGCGCGTAGGAGTTCTCTCGCAGGAGGCTACGCTGAGGCCTCGTGTTTGCGTTTCCTCATTTTA